GAACGCACGTTGTCGGGTCCCGATTGCCCCTGGTATTGAACCGAATTTTTGTCGCCGACGCTAATGATGCGTAGCGGCTTTGAATGCGTCACATCAAAAGGATTTTGTAGAGTATTTCCTAAACTGTGGTATTATCCTTCGATTGAAGGCCGATCTTAAAAAAATACATTTTTGCTGTTTTTGTCTATGAATTCAAACCAATTAGCATACCATTAAGATAAAGCAGCAGGCGATTGACGGTGGCGGCACTTTTGGCACGCGCTTCTTATCCAACGGGGTGCGTGAGGTGATGCTACCTAAATCTAATTGGTGTAAAAGCCCGCCAAGTATCCAATAAAATCGACAAATGTGAACAGATCTCATTTATTACCAGAAATCACAATTCACAATCGTAGTCACATATGGATAATTCGGATGTGCAGTGTGTTCTGTGTGATTTATTGAGTAGTATAAAGATTGAAATGAGTAGCTGTAGGAGAGGAAGACGTCCATTAATGGACAAACAACGCATTATAGACTCTTTATTGAAAAGAACAGGAGATTTGATATTACCCAATAAAAATGTAATCAGTAAGTCAAACGAAATATGGACTGAAATCTCCAAGGAGCTTGGAAATTCTATAGCGCCCAGCTCACTATATGTTATTGTAACCTGCAATCGGTTTCAAGTTAGAGATAACATGATTTTTTCGGAAAGGGCGCATGATGGATCCAATTTTGACCACATACATTCCACTGGTAATAGTTCAAGTATCAGTAGCAGTAGCGAATGGCAAATAATGTCAACAATCAGTCAATGGAATCAGATATAGATACAGGAGAGGTTAGAAAATACGTTTTACGTATACCAAGGCAAGAATTCGAATCATTGATAATGGAAAAAAAATACAAAAAATATAACCGTAGCACTAAAAAAAATGTTCCAAGAATTCATAAGACTTTGATGCCTGGTTTATGGGGAGACATGATCACAGAAAAGTTGGTTCGTCAGACACCCGTAACTTGTGGGTACAACTCCGTGAACCATTATATTTCGATGGATTATAAATCACCTCCACACTAATCACTGCTCAATGCATCACTATGCAGATGATACGCAGATGTATCTGTCTTTCACATATGCTGATCTGCAACTCTCACAAGCCTCCATAAATTTTGACTTGGATTCACTGTTCGATATATCATGTGCTCACAATCTAAAACTGAACTCCAAGAAATCTATGGTAATGTTATTTGGACCTAAGAAAGTTAGAGATTCTGTTAATAATCTTCTGCAAATAAGAATAGATGACAACAGTCTTCCCATCTTGAATGAGAGCAATCATCTTGGACTTTGGTTGGATTCAGACATGAGATTTACGAAACATATCAGCTATTTATGTCAATCATCATATAATGTATTGAGGCAATTATATCCAAACCGAGATATCCTCTCTACAAATCTAAAGCTTGAACTTTGCGAATCTTTAATCTTCTCAAAATTATCATATTGCGATAGCATAATATATGGTCCTGCTTTACTACAAAGTGATTCATTTCGCTTACAACGCATTCCAAATTCTTGCCTAAGGTTCCCATACGGAGTACGAAAATATGATCACATATCTGCTAAGATGCATGACTCTGGAAGGTTACGGTTAGAACAATCAAGGTATTTGCATTTGTTAACACAGGTGCATAAAGTTCTGAAAACCGGTCAACCTAGTTATCTCCACAGAAGACTACAAACTTTCTCAGATATCAACCGAATTTTCAGTCGCAATAAAACCACTCTGGTTATCCCAAAACATAATTCATCTTTCTTCAAACGCAGTTTCTCTTATACAGCTAGCAAATATTATAATTCACTTCCCATCGAATATAGATCTTTCACTCTCAGTAACTTTAAGAAGAGATTAATGCTTGAACTTTCAGCCAGGTAGGTCTTATTACAATCAAAATTCTTGCAATGCTTCTCTGACAATCCTTTGATACTCAATTCTCAATATTATGCAATTTTTTATTCAAATTTTTCAATTATATCTTCTTATTGTATACTATCGGTGTTTCTTCGAGAAATATCGCATCCACATTGTTTCTACACCTTTCATGATTTATATTTTTTTATATCAACTTGTTCTTCTCATTTTATTTTTGGGGTTGAGTTGAAAAACAGCTTTCTGCTGATACTCCGCCTATTCATTATTGCAGATAGGTACATGAGGTATGGAAAATCATATTTGTCTTTTGATTTTTATTTGTGCGATTTTTTTCTGCAAATGATGAATAAAGACGATTTACTATCATCATTATTATTATTATAAATGGTGGGTAAGAGATAACAGAACCCTTTAGATATTTATTTTTGTATCTTGTGCGCGAAATTCTACTTTGGTGACCGGGAACTGATTTTTAAACGAGGCGAGGTGACCAAAATATTTTGCACAAACAACATTTTCCTACAAACGAAAAAAATATAGTTCTGAAGTACTAACACCTATGCTTCGCTTGATATAAATAATAGTGTTGAACTGGATTAGAAGTCCTTAATTATTGTTAAACATTCAGAAATAAATGATTTCTTGGATTTTTGCTCGATTGAGGACCATAAATGTCAAAATAATGATAATAATATTCCCATATAGTTTAAATGCAGTACTTACTTTGCGCATTGTTTCGCAGGAGGTATCATGGTAATGTAGGTAGGAACCTATCTGAAAAAAGGTGTCACTTCGCATATTGATAACAATGCGCGAACCTTGTCATTTTTTGACGTTCGTAGAAGAAATAATTCATTACCCCATGAAAAATGTCGTTCTACTGGTATCTGTTTTGAACTGCTCATTGATTTTTTGCCATATTACATAGGGAAACACGATAGGTTCCAAATGAGTTTCACATTCTAAACATTTTGAATTTCAAAATTAATTCCTCGAGAAAATTAAGAAAATCATCACAATAAATAGGTTATGAATTGCTAAATTGAATATTCCTATTATGCGTATTATGTTGTTTCATCGTGAATCAATCAGATGGTTCATGGGTGGCAACTGCCACCTGTGACTGGCTTATGGCTCCAGTGTTGCCCGATTTACGCTGAATCATCAAGACATTGTCTTTTAACTAGAATTTCACAACCTCTTTAGTGTTAGAATATTTCAATAACACTCTTATTGCTCATTGTTTATCGAAGCATACCTATGACACTCGATTCTTGTGTTAAAATACGCCTGGTGAAATTCCCAGCTCTTGCAATATTTTCTTGATTATTGATCTTTCCTTCTTGTATATGCAATGAAAAACTCAATGAAAACGTCTACCTTGAGATATTATGCATTAGCTGCAAGTATCAGTGAGTAGCTTCAAAAACAAAAAAGGAATACCGAAAAGGTCCAATCGAGTTGAATGTATGTTCTAACTGTTCTAATAAATTTTCAAAAATGGTGAAAATCATTTCAAGTCAAACACAAGGTATACTAGGAATAGTATAACAGATACAGATTCAACTTTTGACTGAAGAAGTTTTTATTCAAATATGTAGTGGCAGGTAAAAATTTTGTAAGGAGAGAAGTGAAGTGAAATGAAACTGAAATCAAGTCACATAGGTTTGAACATACAAAACTCTTTGGAATTCACTACTAGTTTCAAAAGTCATCCCGTTGATGATCGTTTCAGAATAAACTATTTTATTCAAAACAATATATGTAATGTTGTCATTACTAACGTCATTGAAGGTTGAGAAGTGTCACATTACATACCTCTACTTTTCGCCCTCACTTCCCGCCCTCACTTCATTTTTGAATTCAACATAAACAGTATAGTATGGATATACATACCTACAATAGTTCCGTTCCAAAGACAATATTAGTACTCCATCTTTTGGGCTATTCAAGAGAATCATATTTCGAACTTTTGGTAATTTCTCGTTAAATGTAATATTTTTGGTATGCTCAGAACGTAACAGAAATTTATTAATTTTGATCAAAATATGATGGTTGCAAATAATAGTATATCACACACCGAGGTGAGAAGTAATTCATTCCTGTCGTGAGATTAGTTAGTTAAACGAGTCGCAAAGCGTCGAGGTTAGCTATAATCTCGAGACAAGAATGAAACTCCCTACCGAGGTTTGTATATTATTTTATTCACAACTATCATATTTCGATCAAAATTGATAAATCTATGTTCCGTTCTGAACATACCTGAATTATTGAATGAGTGAGGGCGGGAAGTAGTGAGGGGCGGGAAGTGAGGGCGGGAAGCAGAGGTGTGTAATGTGACACTTCCTAACCTCCACTGAGCATTAGTGAATGAAATAGCATACAAACCTCGGTAGGAAGTTTCATTACTGTCTCGAGATGATAGCTAACCTCGACGATTTGCGTCTCGGTTAACTAAATAATCTCGCCACATCAGGAATGAATCTCTTCTCACCTTGGTGTGTAATATACTATTTTAGAATCATTGTTTCACTTCGATTCGTCAGTATGAGGGGAATTTTTCGGCTTAGCCAACTGCAACTGTGGAGGAAAGCTTTGTGCGACAGTAAATGCGTGAAACGATGGCTACGTGGCAAGACACGACATAAGATAGCAAGAGCTATCGAAGAGAAGTCAGCTCATATATATGGAGCCCAAAGGGCTAACAGGGAAATGTGTCCGGGAGATGCGGAACCACCAAATCTATATTCATCTCCTGTACTGAGAAAAGCGAAATCGGAGTATATATCTAGCCAATATCTTGATAAAGATCCGGTGAAATTTGTATTTCACTCGAAACAAACAACAGGGGCCAACATCATCCAAAATATTGACCTGAATCCCTTTTATGTTCATTACTGGACAAGCCATCAAACGAGTATATACAAAAAATATTGCTCAAAATTCACGAGTTGTTTGTTTATTGATACCACAGGAGGAGAAGTGAGAAAAATCAAGAAAGTGGATGGTTCAAAAACAGGAAATATCTTCCTCTCTCATTCAATCATCCGGCTTCAAAGTAGACAATTTTCAGTGTGCCAGATGTTGAGTGAGCTTCACAACACGAACGCAATCAATTATTGGCTCACTGAATGGACACGTTCTGGTGCACCTATCCCGAAAGAAGTAGTGACTGGTGCTTCTAGGGCTCTTTTATCAGCAACTATTCGAGCCTTCACTACCTGCAAATCAATCGGAGAATATGCAGATAGTTTATGGCAGAAACCATCTGCATGTTACATCCGGATAGATGTGGCTCATTTTATCAAAATATACGCATCTTTGGTGAAGGACTTGCCTAGGCGCGTCCCAGTTTTCCATTTAGGATCCATAGGTCAACTCATCCTGTCTAAATCATTGAAGGAGGCTGAAAAGATCTTGGGATCCATCTTGCTGGTATCTCAATGTAAGACTGAGGGATACTTACCATCTGGAGAACCTTGCAAATCAGAGGCAGCAAAATATTCCTTGAAAGAAATCATCACAAGCTCAGAAGTAAGTTCAAAATCAAATATCATTTCACAGAATTCCTTTCGGAATTCGTAGTGAAATGTCAGTTGTCATGTCATGCATATAATCGATTGTTATTGTCGTCTAGCTCGTCGTGATGGTTTTGATGCGATCTCAACAGTTATACTTAGATTCATTGTAATGGGATTTATCATTTGGAATTCTTTTCTACATATTTTTATCTGATAAATTCAGCACTGCCTGGTTTGATGGGATTTTTTCAAACGACTACGAAGATATGACGAAAAATAAAACGATTTTATTTATATAACAGTATTGAAATCGGATGATGGGTGTCCTGCAGATAACAACAGACCCTTAAAGGATTATCTTCGCCATCGGTTTGGAGAAAATCTAATAACCACCAATTGTATCGATGGTGATAACAACTGGCCAGCTCGGTCGCTAGACCTCACTACACCTGATTTTTATCCTTGGGGCTACTAGAAACAACAGGTTTATAAACAGCCAATTGTGAATATAGAAGAAATGAGAAAATCACAAATTTATGCGCACAAATTGATCGCAACGTGATACATAGGTTCACAATGAACGTTTTCAAAAGAGCTAGGAAATGTTTGCAGCAGAATGAACGACATATTGAGCAGTTGAGGATTTTATTATTTGCTATTATATATTGATAAAATCGAATCATATACATTTTTAATTGAATCGTTTTTTTTTTGCCATATCTTCGTAGTCGATTTTAAAAAAATCATGTCAAACCCGGCATTGTTGAATATGTAATAATGTACTCTACTTGAATATACAATAATATATTGGGTGTCTCTATACGAATAGGAAAGTTTAGGTGCACTTCGGTGTGACCCTAAATACCTACGATTCTTTCAATAGCATATTTCGAGTGACCATTATGAAATGAACTGGGTGACCAAATTTCAAGTCATTTGATCGCGCGGTTGACTTTTCACAGAAGGGGTAATTTTAGCTGGGAAATGGTGTATATCTATTATTTATAGGTGAGATAGTTCTATTCGAGTTGGGCTACCAGGAATGCCAGGTTATGAAGTTAACGGAAATACCAGTTTACTTCAAGAATCCCTTAAACGATAAGGAGCACTACCAGCTGGTAGGACTTGTGAACTATACTCCACCTCCACCCAAGAGAAAGTCTTCACAAAATCAAGGAATCGGCCATTCAACAGCCTACTGCCTTCGAGGGGGTTATCAGTGGGTGGAGTATGATGATTCAAAGAAGAATGAAAGGAATAAAAAATCCAATGTATTTGTGCAACCAGTTCTCCTGGTATTTGTTAGAAATAAAATATAATTCCTGGAACCTCTCACTCTGCTTTTGTACCTTTTTTTTAATTATCAGGGCTCGTTTTTGTTTTCGAACGAAATTGAATTGAAATTGGCATCTATAATGAACAGTCTCGAGAAAACAAACGAACAGCGTAAATTCTGAGAGTGGAACAAATTACCAACAAGAAAGCAACAAATTCTGATATGATCGTCATTGAGTTTTTATGACAGTAAACTGAGTTTTCGCATAATTGGTCTAGCATGACATCTTCTATCATGATCATCACCATAGTTTTAGAAAAAAATAATAAAGATAAACCAAAATTCTAATAGGGGAACAAATTAACAACAAGAGAGCAACAAATTCTGGCATAATCGTTTTTGCGTTTTTATGTCATTTAACGGAGTTTTCGAAAAATTAGTCTAGCATGGCATCTTCTATCACCATAGTTTCCGGAAGAATAATCAAGAGCAACAAACATTCTAAAATGGAAACAAATCAACAACAAGGAAGCAACAAATTCTGGCATGATCGTTTTCGCGTTTTTATGTCGTTTAACGGAGTTTTCGAAAAATTAGTCTAGTATGACATCTTCTATCATGATCATTTCTGAAAAAACTAAAAAAAAATTTGAAAAGGAAACAAATCAACAACAAGGATGCAACAAATTCTGCCATGATCATTTTCGCGTTTTTATGTCATTTAACGGAGTTTTCGAAGAATTAGTGTAGCATGACATCTTCTATCATGATCATTTCTGAAAAAAAGTAACGAAAATTCTGAAAGGGGAACAAATTAACAACAAGGAAGCAACAAATTCTGGCATGATCGTTTTTGCGTTTTTATGTCATTCAACGAAATTTTCGAAAAATAAGTCTGACATGGCATCTTCTATCATCATAAATTCTGAAAAAAATAAAGAGCAATTAAAATTCCAGAAGGGGAACAAATCAACAACAAGAAAGCAACAAACTCTGGCATGGTCGTTCCTGCGTTTTTATGTCATTTAACGGAGTTTTCGAAAAAATAGTGTAGCATGGCATCTTCTATCATGATCATTTCCGAAAAGAAGTCACAAAAATTCTAAAAGGGGAACAAATTAACAACAAGGAAGCAACAAATTCTGGCATGATCGTTTCTGAGTTTTTATGTCAGTAAACGGAGTTTTCGAAAAATTCGTCTAGCAAAACTTCTTTTATCACCATAGTTTCAAAAAACAAAGAAAATAGAGAGCAACAAAAATTCTGAAAGAGGAACAAATCCACAACAAGAATGCATCAAATTCTGGCATAATTGTTTTTGCGTTTTTATGTCATTCAACGGAGTTTTCGAAAAATTAGTCTAGCAAGGCATCTTCTATCACCATAGTTTTAGAAAAAAAAAAATAAAGAGCAACCAAAATTCTGAAAGGTGAACAAATTAACAACAAGAAAGCAACAAATTCTGGCATTATCGTTTTTGCGTTTTCATGTCATTTAACGGAGTTTCCGAAGAATAAGTCTAGCATGGCATCTTCTATCACCATAGTTTCCAAAAGAATAATCAAGGGCAACAAACATTCTGAAAAGGGAACAAATCAACAACAAGGAAGCAACAAATTCTGGCATGATCGTTTTCGCGTTTTTATGTCGTATAACGGAGTTTTCGAAAAATTAGTCTAGCATAACATCTTCTATCATGATCATTTCTGAAAAACAAATAAAGAAAAATTGAAAGAGAAAACAAATCAACAACAAGCAAGCAACAAATTCTGGCATGATCGTTTTCGCGTTTTTATGTCAGTTAACGGAGTTTTCGAAAAATCAGTGTAGCATGACATCTTCTATCATGATCATTTCTGAAAAAAAGTAACGAAAATTTCGAAAGGGGAACAAATTAACAACAAGGAAGCAACAAATTCTGGCATGATCGTTTCTGCGTTTTTATGTCATTTAACGAAGTTTTCGGAAAATAAGTCTGGCATAGCATCTTCTATCATCATAAATTTAGAAAAAAATAAAGAGCAATAAAAATTCCAGAAGGGGAACAAATTAACAACAAGGAAGCAACAAACTCTGGCATGGTCGTTCTTACGTTTTTATGTCATTTTACGGAGTTTTAAAAAAATTAGTGTGCCATGCTATCTTCTATCACCATAGTTTCCAAAAAAAAGAAAAATGAAGAGCAACAAACATTCTGAAAAAGGAACAAATTAACAACAAGGAAGCAAAAAATTCTGGCATGATCGTTTTCGCGTTTTTATGCCATACAACGGAGTTTTCGAAAAAATTAGTGTAGCATGGCATCTCCTATCATGATCAATTCCGAAGGGAAGTCACAAAAATTCTAAAAATGGAACAAATCAACAACAAGAAAGCAACAGATTCTGGCATGATCGTATGTCAGTAAACGGAGTTTTCGGAAAATTTGTCTTGCAAAACATCTTTTATCACCATAGTTTCAAAAAAAAAAAAATAGAGAGCAACAAAAATTTTGAAAGAGGAACAAATTCACAACAAGGAAGCAACAAATTCTGACATAATCGTTTTTGCGTTTTCATTTCATTTAACAGATCAGCTATTTATGTCAATCATCATATAATGTATTGAGGCAATTATATCCAAACCGAGATATCCTCTCTACAAATCTAAAGCTTAAACTTTGCGAATCTTTAATCTTCTCAAAATTATCATATTGCGATAGCATAATATATGGTCCTGCTTTACTACGAAGTGATTCATTTCGCTTACAACGCATTCCAAATTCTTGCCTAAGGTTCCCATACGGAGTACGAAAATATGATCACATATCTGCTAAGATGCATGACTCTGGATGGTTACGGTTAGAACAATCAAGGTAAATAAATGTGAAAAGCTCACAGTCATTTCCACCCAGTGTTCATAAAAAAAAATGAACAACAATGGTAGATTTCGGGAGAAAAACAACTACTTCCCTGGCTAATGCCACGCAGGATATTGAATTACATCCTCCCGAAATCTATGCATCGACTCGTTTAAACGAATACTGATACAAGTGATTCTTTCCTCAATGCCTATTGATTTCGATTAAGCCAGGCCGCTAGACAACCACAGACCGGTTTCGAGCTCTTTGACTCTCATCAGTGCAGTGTAGTCTCCAGCCAGCAGTCCTAAGACCGCCGACTCAGCGAAGCCTAGCCAAACAAAAATCAAGTTGGCATTATATCCACCCCGAGGCGTCTCTCATCGATAAAATGAAAGTAACGCCATCTGAGTAGAACCGAGGAAAGAATCTCTCCAAAACTGAAATTCCCATACGGGAGTGGCTGGCAGCCCGACTGGCGTGATATGAACTACGAAATAGCCACAATGCTCACAGTGGAATGAAATAGTAAATAAATGTGAAAAGCTCACAGTCATTTCCACCCAGTGTTCATAAAAAAAAATGAACAACAATGGTAGATTTCGGGAGAAAAACAACTACTTCCCTGGATAATGCCACGCAGGATATTGAATTACATCCTCCCGAAATCTATGCATCGACTCGTTTAAACGAATACTGATACAAGTGATTCTTTCCTCAATGCCTATTGATTTCGATTAAGCCAGGCCGCTAGACAACCACAGACCGGTTTCGAGCTCTTTGACTCTCATCAGTGCAGTGTAGTCTCCAGCCAGCAGTCCTAAGACCGCCGACTCAGCGAAGCCTAGCCAAACAAAAATCAAGTTGGCATTATATCCACCCCGAGGCGTCTCTCATCGATAAAATGAAAGTAACGCCATCTGAGTAGAACCGAGGAAAGAATCACTCCAAAACTAAAATTCCCATACGGCAGTGGCTGGCAGCCCGACTGGCGTGATATGAACTACGAAATAGCCACAATGCTCACAGTGGAATGAAATAGTAAATAAATGTGAAAAGCTCACAGTCATTTCCACCCAGTGTTCATAAAAAAAAATGAACAACAATGGTAGATTTCGGGAGAAAAAAAACTACTTCCCTGGCTAATGCCACGCAGTATATTGAATTACATCCTCCCGAAATCTATGCATCGACTTGTTTAAACGAATACTGATACAAGTGATTCGTTCCTCAATGCCTATTGATTTCGATTAAGCCAGGCCGCTAGACAACCACAGACCGGTTTCGAGCTCTTTGACTCTCATCAGTGCAGTGTAGTCTCCAGCCAGCAGTCCTAAGACCGCCGACTCAGCGAAGCCTAGCCAAACAAAAATCAAGTTGGCATTATATCCACCCCGAGGCGTCTCTCATCGATAAAATGAAAGTAACGCCATCTGAGTAGAACCGAGGAAAGAATCACTCCAAAACTGAAATTCCCATACGGGAGTGGCTGGCAGCCCGACTGGCGTGATATGAACTACGAAATAGCCACAATGCTCACAGTGGAATGAAATAGTAAATAAATGTGAAAAGCTCACAGTCATTTCCACCCAGTGTTCATAAAAAAAATGAACAACAATGGTAGATTTCGGGAGAAAAACAACAACTTCCCTGGCTAATGCCACGCAGGATATTGAATTACATCCTCCCGAAATCTATGCATCGACTCGTTTAAACGAATTGTATGTAATCACTCATTCATATGTTGGCATATGAATGAGTGATTTTAGTCTACAAATGAGTTACAGGATGTTTTCATTAATTGATCTTGAATCTACCATTTTCATGTTCAGTTTTCAGTAGTGAATACCATGTTCTATCAATATCAACTGAACAGGAAGCAACATCAGTATGACACTGAAAAGTGTCAAACTATACGCAGCACAACTTTCAAAGAAAAATAATTTGCATTTACATGTTGAGAACGGGAGCAGAATCGTGTTACAAGTTTAAAATGAGTTTCTCAATTGATATACCTTGCCAAATGAATTTGAATAGTTTTGCTATAATAATAACTTTAATGAAAGGTCATGGTGTGATACACTTTTTTTTGTAATAAACAGTTTTCCAAAAAAATCACTACACCTCGGTTACATAGACTGGTTTTCGTATATGTTATAGTTCTTTCAGGTGATCATAATTTTCACTACACATTCGTTGCATCA